GATGATGATGATGATGATGATGATGATGATGATGATGATGATGATGATGATGATGATGATGATGATAACTGAGAACTGGTGCGAAGCAGCGAGTAGAGGTTGCTCTGTGTAGCTGCATCATTCGTCGTTTTCGGACATGAACTTTTTATTTATCGTTTCGCTCTCTGTACTTTGCCTCTGCAAATTGTTGGTCTAGTAGCATCTTAAATTTAGACACGGTGTTCGCTTCTACTATATGCTGAGGCAGGTCGTTCCAGACATTCACCACTCTGCGTTCGAAACAGAGTTGATGGGCGACCCGCTTCAAATCCGGGACGATAAGTTTGTACCGGTGTCCTCGCGTGCAGCTTGGTGTGCGCAGATGAAGTAGTTGTCTCAACATGGGGTAATCACCCAGATGTAATATCCGGTGCGTCATGATGAGGTCAACCCTCAGCCGACGATAAGATAGGGTGTATAACCCTAGTTTCTTACATCGGTCTTCGTATGGCATACCTCGTAAGTTGGGAATCAGCCTGGTGGCTACATGCTGCACCCGCTCAAGCTTTTCTACTTCGCCCCGGGTGATGGGACAGTATGCGGGAGTGCCGTACTCTAGCATTGGTCGTATTATCGAGACGAAGAGGCGAGAAGCAATCTCTTCGGACCAAGTGCTAAAGCTGCGCCTGAGAGCCCAAAGCATACGAAGGCTGTTTTGGTACAGCCTATTCGTGTTGTCAATGGACTTTAGGTCGCAGCGTGAGAGTACACCGAGGTCGCGCACGAAAGGAGCGGGATGCAACGGTTGTCCAGCCACTGTGTACGTTCGGCTGTGCTCACACTTACCCAACCTCATGAATTGCGACTTAGCAGGGTTGATCGGAAGGTTGACCTCTGCAGACCATGTTGAGAGGCGGTCGAGATCCTGCTGAAGTAAATCGCAATCATTGGGTGTGCGGATTACTCTCCACACTTTCAAGTCATCTGCGAACAAAGCACAATGTGATTGTAGTAGCTGAGGCACATCGTTTATATGGATTAGAAACAATATCGGTCCCAGTACAGTGCCTTGGGGCACGTCGCTGCTCGATGGATACCAGTCAGTTAGATGGTTGTCCACCTGGACTCTCCACTTCCGATCAATAAGGAAATTGCTGATCCATTTGTGCAGCGAACCACCAACACCGCACATCCTCAGCTTGTCTAGGAGCACTGCAAATGCCTTACTGAAATAAAGGTACATGACGTCGACTGACTTGCCTTGGTTCAGCGCTTTCAACCATTCGTGCCTCGTCAACAGTAGGTTAGTGATATAGGAGTGACCTTTCAAGAAACCATGCTGTGCGGGCGTTAAGAAGTTTTTCGACTCGAGAAGCTGCAGAAGACTCATCTTCACGATCTTCTCGAGCGTCTTTGCCAAAACAGCGGTCAGGCAGATCGGCCGGTAGTTATCTACTTTGCTTGGGTTACCACCTTTTGGTATTGGCTTTACGACTGAGCATTTCCAGTCGCCCGGTAATAGTCCAGTGGATAGTGATCTATTAAACAGCTCAGTTACAGAAGGCGAGATGATGGCGGGTAGGGACTTGAGGATCAGTGAATAGATTCCATCTGGCCCGGCAGGCTTCGTCCCGTCGAGATTTGACAGAAGCTTACATATATGTTCAATGCTGCAATCTAGGCTGTCTAGTTCGGCGGGAGCCGTACTTGTCGAACTCGTTACAGACACCTGGTCACTTGCAAATACGGATTCGAAGTGCGCCGCTAATTAGGATGCACGATCTGTGCTCGAGGTTAGGGTTGTCCATCTGAGCTTTCCAATACTGACAAATTGCCTGCAGGCCTCAGGCGCCGCTTCACGTATGCGAAGATCCTCTTGGGAGCAGTTTTTCGGCGGTTTCAGGCCGCTGTTCGAAACTTCTACGCTTTTTGCGCGTTGTTGCAGAGATTTCGCTATACCTTGTACGCCTTGTAGTCCTCATCAGAGCCAGATAACACAAATTTGTTCCCTAGTCTGCGTCGTCGTCGGGCCAGTTTGCTGAACTCCTTGTCGAACCAATGTGGTTTGACTGGCCCAACTTTCCGATATTTGTGGGGTACTAATCGGGCGCACAACAATTTCACTCCCTCTTTAATGATCGTCCAACAGATTTCAATAGACGAATCCTGTGGTAAAGACCAGTCTATCTGACTCGCTGCTCGAATGAGGCCATTAAAGTCCGCCTTCCAATAGTTGAAGGCTGGCTCCAGCGAGGGTGAATACGGCAGCAGCAGTTCCAAACTGGCTATGATCACCGAGTGGTCACTCGCTCCCAGGGGCTTTAAGACTTGAATGTCATGTACACCTTGTTCACAGCTGTTCAAAAGCAGGTCTAAGCACGATGGAGTAGTGCGCCTAGTTATGCGCGTCGGTTGGTTGATGTGCTGTGTGGCCCCGGTTTCAAATATGAACTCCGTAAACTTCCTCTCGACTTCACAATGGCTGGGGAGAAGTTCAGCCTCAGGCCACTGTATTCGGGGCAAGTTGAAATCGTCCATGAGTAGGAACAGCTGACGACTCATGTGGTTGCGAACATGCGGCAATCAGTCCAAGCGGCGGCTCAGTGGACTGCGATATACTACGTCTACGAGCATCTCCCAGCGTCTGCGGTGAATCGAACACCATAACTGCTCACATAGACCATCAGCGCTTCGGTAGGCGCTGCCTAGTCTCCTACACAAGGAAGACTTTATGTAAAGCGTCACGCCACCGCGATCATTTGATTGTCTATCACAGCGGAAACACGAGTAGCCACTGATTTTCACTTCTTGGGCGGTTATTTCTGAGTTTAACCATGTCTCATCAAGGCCAAATACGTCTGGCCGCTGAGAGATTACAAAGTAGTACAGCTCATCGCGTTTGTTCATCAGACTGCAGACGTTAGTAAAGGCTACGCGCAGACCGCGGTAGGATTCTCTGGGCGCGCCTGAAGCATCGGAAATCTGTTGATCCGGATTCGCGGAGGAATCCGAGTGACTACCCGAAAATTTACACTACGGAGATTTGGTTCTCCATCGTCCGTGCGTCGCTTTAGTTCAATAATCGCAGACTTGAGTTTCTCACTGTCTGCTGGGTCTAAGTCAGAGCGCACGTGGACCTTTAGACCTTTCAGCCTATTAAGGCGCGACAATATTAACTTAGGACTTGCCTCTTTGAAAAACACCCTCATAGGTCGACTTTTGCCTTCGGCTCTCTTTCCCAGACGAGCGATCTGTTTTACTTTTATCGCGCCCTCATCCACGTCGAGCAGTCTATCAATCGGAGTTTGCAAAAACTCTACGTCATGTTCATAGCGCACCTGAAGATTGGAATCATAGGATTCAGGTGAGTGAAAGACCATGAGGCTGCGGCGCCTCAGGTCGCTAGACATTGTCCTCGGTTTCTTTGGTATTTGCATTCGCCATTCGTTATCACCAATTTGCTTATTCTAAATAAGACAATAAGAAGACTGGTATTGCGAGAAGATTTGAAACTGGTCACAGTTTCAAATCTTCGATTTTTTCTGTCACGTGATTCATCTATCTGTTGTTAGTTTGCGAGTGAACAGATAACGCGAAATGGTACCATCTCGCAATACCAGTCTTCTTATTGTCTTATTTAGAATGATAAAGGGAACTCAGTGCTTTAAATTTGCTTATTGCAAATTAGAGCTTTAGTGTCAACTGAAGAAATCGTAGGCCTTGAAGCCGATTTTGTCGGGGTGTTAGCACTTTGGGATAGATTCCCTGTCGTACTAAGCGCTGGCTGTTTCTCTGATTGTGGTGCAGCACAAATCGAGCTGCGCGTTTTAGCGCACTTCGCTGTACTGATCCGCATGTCAGGCTTTTCGGCTCCATTCTACCCAAGTTTAGACTGACATGGCTTACAAATGATCTTCAAAAAGTCGTGCTGAATACCTTGAATTGCTCGAAATTGGTCCACAGATAGACCAATACACGAAATATGAAACTTTACGCTGCATAAACTGCATTTAATCGCATTTGCGCGATGTCCAACGACTTCGGAGCAAACACCACAAAGTGTCTGTTTTGGCATTTCAAAAAATGCACCGATCGATACGACTAAATCGGCGTAATGCAGAATCACAGAAATTATAATAAACTAGCATAGGTAGTTATGTTGGTGATTCCAAATCACTAATATGAATGAATTACAAAGATATTTACAGAATAAAACGAATTTACTAATGAACAGAATGAGGTAAACTGGCATGATGCGGACACGAGAAAACACGACCAGGACGGACGACAATCAAGGAAGTATAGAACGAGAAAATTACTGCCGAAAACGGCTTAAAATATATTACTAAATAATTCAGAATCACAAATAATAGCGAATTAAACAATTGAAGACAAAAATTTACGATATATGACGCAGAAAACCTGAAGAAACTGGCCTGGGAGCAGAGCGATATAGTTCGAACCGGCCGCCGTGGCCTTGACCTTGATGGTGATGATGATGGGTTTTCGCTGCATAAGGGTTTATCCTTGAATGATCAACTTTTTTCTGCCCTGCTGACTTAAGGGAATCTCGTTTAAGCCACACACTGCAAGCCGGTGCCGCACCATCGTCCTACTTAAATGTTTACAGGTCTATGTCCTGTCGGGCGTCTAAAAGTACGTAACTTTAGCATGTATAAAATAGCCTGCCATCGTGTTGACTATCAGGAACTGTTCTGTAAATAAAACAATTAACGTAATAAATGTTTGTACAGCTTATAGTCCAGCCCTACCTATGTGGCTACATTTTTCCAACGTGCCGATAGCCTAGTGTTGCTGTTGTTCTTCTTTTTTACATTATTGTTGCAACACGGTACTACTGGAAGTTATATTACTAAGCGAACTCTTCCTGCTCTATGTGATGTAGCAAATAATGGCACTCCACCAGCAAATTTGCGCGAGTGTCTTTTTTGTATGCTGGTAAAAGATTTTTATTTGCAGTTATTCCGCTTTTATGTATCCTTTCCCTTTGATTTCGTTAGTTTGTCAACTGTGCGCGCTGTGATGAAGAGCAAAACATTGTCACTATTCAGTACAGAGGAAAAATCTACTACCGGGCTTGTCAAGTATGTTACCTAGGAAGTAGGCATTCTTGTTCACCATCAGGATATCCCTAGGGGCCGCGAATTGCTGACCTACTACGGCGCCGAGGTGAGTATATTTTGCCAACCGTTACTTTTTCACTTCGTTGACAATTTACTTGTTTTGTGTTGCTTTTGTCTTCATCTGGTGCAAGCTTTTAGCCACAAGTAGAGTTTCTGTACTCATACACCTTTTGGCAGTTTAGGTCATGTCTGCTGAGAGAACCGCGTGATGGATGCGCGTGTTCGCCGCCGTGTATTTGACGCAGGAAGTACGAGTGAACGGCTCTGCGCCGCTATGTCACACACCAGGCTCCAGTGGGTGGACACCGTGTTTCGTATCCCAGCACACCGACTTGCGCTGTTTGCACGACTGCAGTGTGGATTAAAGAAGAGGAGGGGACGTCAAACTAAGACTTGGTCAAGTTATGTGAAAACTCCCAGTTCGAAGTCGACGTCTGTTTCCGGGTTGGGGTCCCAAGGACAATGAGCACGTGTGGTTTGATCCACTGTTTCACTTGGTGAAGTGCCGACCTCATTGGGGTTCGTGTAGTATGTTTCTTTACCTCTCCTTCTCCCGTTTACCTTCTCCTTCCAACCACGGTCTGACACTGCATGTAAAATATGGTACTTAGCATGCTATTACCTGCCTTTTGTCTTCTATAGTTCTTTCTTTCTTCTCTTTCATGCAATTATATTTCTATATTGCGGCACTATAGCAAGCTAAGATGTGGTACTATAGCCATCGCGATGAAACTGGACCTTAACGATAGTTCTTGTGTGTCAGTGATCCATAGAGCTTTGCTGGGCGGTGCATTTTGCACCTTCAGAGCCACTCATACCAGACAGGTCAATGGCTAGAGGCCTAACTAAATCAGTTCCTTGGCCCTCCATCTTGGGGGTTGGAGTGACGGTGGCTCCTTACTCCAAAAAACGAGCTCTCTGTAGCCCAGTGCCGTTACCCCGCTGCCTAGCCTTAAGGTCTTTGAACCAAAGGCTTTGTTTGGGAACCCTAATCGTTTTCCTGTCTAGGCGTGGGCAACCTGATAGTAACATACCCACGCAATACACCACGAGCATCTCTTCTAACAATCTCTTGATGCTCTGACCGTTGTAGCGAGTAATAAAAGGCGCCCTTTCTACTGCACCGAGCAGGGTGGATAGGGTTTTGGATGCTACTGCTCAAGGCCTCCCGCTTTATTATCTCCCCTCTCGCGCATTTTCATCTTTCGCGTCCCGTACCAACTTCACTTTCATCCTCTCGTTTTCAGTTTCCCGATTCCTATCCCTCCCTCTTTTGCTTTTATAGGCACTTATCTTATAGTTGCAACTCACACACAATAACAGGGCGTCGCTCCAATCCAGTTGACTAGTCCAAATTCGACCGAGCGGATAACGTCAGTTCATCCGTTTCCCTTTGGAGTCCTCGATCCTCGCTAAGACTGGCATGCTTCAATGTGCGCACTTTGCTACAGATTGGCTAACAGACAGCACTTGCCCGAACACTAGAGACCCTCTCGGTCGATATTTGCTGTTTATCGGAAACCCGCCTGCAAGCTTCGAACTCCATGCTTACTCTGCGATCCCCCACATGCGACACTGGCGGCACATTCTTATTGTACCTGTCTGGCGTTGAAGCAGCTTCAACTGCAGGTCAAGCTAGCGTCGGCATTGATTTGAGTCCCCGGACTGAAGCTTCCCTGATCGATGGGATCCCTGTCAACAGCCGGATGTGCACCGTTTGAGTAGCTGACTCGTTCCAGCCTTCGAAGTCGCACGAGAACAAACGGTACCTATTTGTCATTGCGGATTACGATTTCACAAACTGCAATCCTGATTCGATGAAAGATGATTTCTATCACCAACTTAACGCTTTTCTTTGTTCCAGAAGAAGCACGGACTCTGTGGTGCTTGCTGGTGATCTGAACGCTCAAGTCGGAAAATTGTCCTCTGATGAGCTTCATCTGGGAGGCCAACATGGTGTACGCTCCAGTAATGATAACGGTGAATAGTTGCTACACCTTTGTGAAGGTGCTCGTCCTTTCGCGCGAGCATTAACTTTCGACATAACACCCGGAGAAGAGTGACATGGCGCCCACCAGCCTCGCGCCAGCCATGCACCCAAAACGATCACATCGCGATTAGTTACCGCTGGAGAGGCTGGATCCAAAACTCGCTCGATTTGGAACACCAGGATGGACTTCGATCACGCTCTCGTGTGTCCGGACCTCGGGGCGCGTTTCGGTGGAGGTACGCACCATCGTTCTGAGCGCATTGACACTAACCAGCTGGCGAAGCCAAGTGTTCTGAATGCATATCAAACTACGCTGGCATCTGGGCTGAGTAAGCCTCCACTGAACACCTCGTAGATCATTGATCGCATATTCGTCAAACGTTACTATCAGCAGACATGTCTTCATGTAGCAAATCAAATCGCCAAGCTAGACATTGCGTCTCTACCAAGTCTCTGGAACTTATGGATCATCGGAGACATATTCCGGCTGGAAGCGAATACAATGAGACTGGCAAAAATCTCGGCTCAAATCTGCGTGCTAGCCTGAAGAGAGACCGCGAAGCCTGGTGGTCCTATCGTGCATCGAAAAGGGAAACAGCCGCTGCCGTTGGTAATCATCATATCCCGTTTGATACGGGAAATAGGCAGCAGGAGACCTGGTGTTAGCTAGACAATACGCGACCATTGCAATGAGGCTGGACCTTTCCGTGTTGCGATGGCTTGTGCGCCTCAGTGATCCATGGAGCTATGCTGGGTGGTGCTTTTACACCTTCAGAGTCAATCATACCAGATTTGTCAATGGTTAGAGGCCGGACAAACCCAGGCTCCTGGTATTCCAGGTTGGGGGTTAGAATGAGGGTGGCACCTTATTCCTTAAAACGGACTCCTTGTAGCCCAATGCCAAACCCGCTGCTTTGCGGTCAGGTTTGCCTTGGTTGAGAACCCCAATCGTTCTCCTGTCTAGGCCTGGGCAACCTGACATTATTCGGCCCACGCAATACTATGAATCATTCGTCAAACAATTTCTAGATGCTCTGGCCACCGCAGAGGATAATCAACGGTGCCCTACCTGCTGCATCGAGCAGGGTGGATTGGGGTTTGGATGCTACTGCTCAAGCCTTCCCGTCTTCTTATTCCTCCTGTTACGCTTTTACACCCTCAGCGTCCCGTTTTATCCACTTTTATCCCCTCTGTTTTCAATCCCCGATTCTTGGCCCTCCCCCAACATGCTTTGCTAGGCATTTATTTTCTAAATTCAACTCACATGTGAACGCGGAACGTCACTCCTCTCCTCTCGACTAGCCCATGTCCAACCAAGCGGTCCATTCCAGTTCATCGGCTTCCATTTGTAGCCCTCGATCCTCCTTCAGATTGACATGCCTCAATGTACGCACATTGCTACAAATCGGTCAACAGGCAGCACTTGACCGAACATTGGATACCCTCTCGATCGATATCTGCTGCTTATCAGAGACCTGCCTGCAAGACTCGAGCTCTGTACCCACTCTGTGATCCCCTTCAGGTGACGCAAGCAGTATTTTCTCATCGCGCCTATCCGGTGACGATGCAGCTTCGAGCACCGGCCACGCTGGTGTTGGTATTGCCCTGACTCCCCGGGCTGAAGCTGCTCTGGTTGATTGGATTCCAATCAGTAGCCGGATGTGTGCGGTCCGATTGGCTGGCTCGTTCAAGCTTCGAAGTCGCGCGGGATTAATAAGTGTCTATTCATCATCGCTGCATACGCGCCCACAAACATTGGCGATGATTCGGTAAAAGACGACTCCTACGGCCAACTGACCGAGTTCCTTCGCCACAGGAGATGCACGGACACTGTAGTGCTGGCCGGGGATCTGAACGCAAGAGTTGGAAAGTTGTCCACTGATGAAATGCATCTGGGCGGTCAGCACGATGTAGGCTCCCGTAATGATAACGGTGAGCGGTTACTTTATTTGTGAGAAGATGCCCGCTTATTTCTTGCGAGCACTAACTTCCGACGCAGCACCCGCCGGAGGGTGACTTGGTGCCCACCAGCCTCGAACCAGCTATGGACGCAAATCGATCACATTGCTATCAGTTACCGATGGAGAGGCTGCGTCCAGAACTGTCGTTCGATTTGGAGCACATGTGTGGACACCGATCATGCACTTGTATGTGCTGACCTGCGGATGCGTTTTGGCGGACGCCCACGACGACGCTGTGAGTGCATTGACACCAGCCAACTGACAAAGCCAGCTGTTCTGAATGCGTATCGAATTACGCTGACATGCGAATTGAGTAAGCGCTCACTGGAGACAATTGATGGTCACTGATCACATGTTCGCCAGATCTTACTAGCAGCAGGCAAATCCTCATGTGGTATATCTAATAGCCAACATGGATATTGTTATAATTGGGGGAACGCCTCTTGAGATGATTGCGTAATTGCCTGATAAGATTGTCGCTGGCACGGTTGGAGCACGCCTACGATAATTGCTTACAACGCTGGCCAATCGAACGGAGTTGCGCTGACCAGATTGCGTTAGCTTGGCCGGTGAGACGCAAATTGAGCGAGCGTGTGAACGATCCTACCCGCACCTGTTCGGATAGGCGCTGAGCTCTGGAAACGGAGGCACAGGAGAGGGGAGTTACGATAGACTCGCTAATGACTTAGAGGCGAAGGCTGGCCAGCTAACGACGCACACAGAATCGCGTGACCCGACCGAATCCCAAGTAAGGCGAAGAGGAAAGAAAAACAGGCGGTCCTCTGTAGGCTCTTTTACGGCCAACAAAGGGCGATCACAGCCAATGCACTTGGTTATTAAGTTGGGATAAACAGTCACCACGAAGAGGTGGTAGTTTGCAAATGACCATTGTCAAAATGTTCGCAGTTGGGACGCGCCTCGGGGTGGCTGAGCGCTGCTGCGTTGTGGGAAGGAATTAAACCTCGTTTTCCACAGCCATTCTGCTGGGGTTTCTGGCGCGTCTTTGCGGGAATATTTGAGTTGCCCGCAACAGATACTGGGTCTCTTCGCGGTCTCTGGAACTTATCAACGCTCGCCGGCATATTCCGGCTGGAA